GTAGAGATCTCAAGCTTTAATTTGGAGATCTCAAGCTTTAATTTGAAAAAAAAAGAGCATAACTTTGCGATGATTTTTCACGGAGTTATCATCAGTCAAATTTGGTCAATTTTTGCCTAAAATTTTTCTATGCCATATTTCTTTTGAGCAGTGTATTATCTCTCTGTGTACACTTCTCGCCAGGCAATCGCCGATCGTTTCTCGTTTTTTTACATTTATACTGCGACGAATCGGTGAGGAAACGGGGAAGAGGTTCCTTCAGGTTTAGGACGACCAGGGAAAGTGGTCCTCCACAAACCGAAGCTCACATCCACGGACGATTTTTACTTCGGGGCGCCAAACAACGATACATTTTATTTCGACACGTTTCTTTCGACAATAAACGATAACTGTCGATCAACGCCGCAGTTGGAAGTAAATGTGTAAGTAGTTCTAATTTCTTCGGAAATATTCTCTGCGGGGAGTTGATTGTCATTGTTATATATTTGTGTAGGTAAATTTTCCTGCAACCAGGATGGACCATTCCACCAAAGATTGTTGTTAATAAGCAAAGTTGGACTGATTCCCCGTGATATGATATCAGCAGGATTTTCAGATGACGCGACATGTAACCATTTTCCATGCGATAGGGTTTGTATTTCTGCTGTACGATTTGCTACAAATGTTTTCCATTGTTTTGAGGGAGAGTTGATCCACGCAAGAACGATTGTGGAATCACACCAATAATATTCGTCACATATGATGCCTATTGATGTCCGTACTTTCTTTGCAAGCTGGGCTAGTAACTGAGCACCGCACAGTTCTAATCGCGGCAAGCTAATAACTTTCAAAGGAGCGACTCTAGATTTTGCGCATAATAATCGAGTAGTCCATATACCGTTTTTATCTAATGCACGGAGATATATACACGTTCCATAAGCCTTTTCTGACGCATCAGAAAAGCCGTGTAATTCGAATTTTTGGATTTTCGCGGGTAAAGCTCGTCTCGGAATTCTAATATCATTTATATACATAAGTTCTTCGCGGAATGTACTCCATCGAGAGTGGAGATGCTGAGGTAATGATTCATCCCAAGCGGAGTGAAGTTGCCACAATTCTTGTAGAATAATTTTTGCTTGAATCGTAGCTGGACCGATTAAACCGAGAGGATCGAAAATTTGTGAAATATCTGAGAGAATTGTACGTTTTGTGATGCGTGAATTTATAGGGTTTTTTACCGAAAAAGTTAATATGTCTTGTTCGAAATTCCAAAATAAACCTAACGTCTTTGAGCTATTGTCCGATACTAATTGTAATTGATTTTTATTGTCTATTTGTGATGCGAATATTTTGGGTTCGTTTGATGCCCATTTACGAAGTTCGAAACCTGAAGAGAGAAGAATGTTGGTTAAATCATTTTTCAATTGTACAATTTCAGTAATAGAATCTGACCCTGTCAATAAATCATCTACATAGAAATCGCGTAAAATAGCGCGACCTGCAAGCGGGTGACTTTCTTGGTGTATTTGTCCAATATGCTGAAGAACTTTAGTTGCAAGAAAAGGTGCGGATGCTGTGCCGTAGGTTACAGTGTTTAACTCGTACATTTTAATCGATTCATTTTTATCTTTGCGCCATAATATACGTTGGAATTTTCTATCTTCGTTTCTTACTAATATCTGTCGATACATCTTTGCAATATCTGCTGAAAGAACATATTGGTGCTTGCGAAATCGTAAAAGGATTGACATTAAATCTTCTTGAACTACGGGTCCTACCCACTGAACGTCATTTAATGATAGCCCTGACGATGTCTTGGCAGACCCATCAAAGACTACGCGTAATTTTGTGGTGGTACTACTTGCTCTAAAAACTGCATGATGCGGTAAATAGTATCCTGTTTGTGTATGTGATTGTTCTAAGTTTGTAATTTCACTCATGTGCCCTAACGATTCATATTCCTCTAAGAATTTAATATACTCTTCCTTAATTTCCGGTTGCCTAGCTAGTGTGCGTTCTAAATTAAATAGTCTTTTTTCCGCATGATGTATAGAATTGCCTAACTTATTAATATTTTCTTTAAACGGAATGGCTACAATGTATCTGCCATTGCTATCTCGCGTTACAGTAGAATCAAAATGTTGTTCACAATGATGCGGAGATTTTGTGTTTTCAGCTATACTACCTTCTATTTCCCAAAACTTGGCTAATTGATCGTGAATTTGTTCGTTTGTGACTAAATGACAAATAGTTCGTGTTTCTGCAAATGAAGGAGCGAGATCTAAGTTTCCTACAACAATCCAACCTAATTGGGTTTTTTGCAATGAAGGGTGACGAGGTCCTAATGAATGACGACCTACACACATTAAATCCCAGAATAAATCTCCACCAATAATCATGTCAACTTCTCTGGGAACATTGAACTGAGGATCGGCTAAGAATTTATTGGATGGAATTTCTAGTAAAGATAAATCGACTGGTCGGTTTGGAATGTTTTCTGTTATCGTAGGTAAAACTAAACAGGAGATTGATTTTGTAAATCCGTTAAAACGCGATACAATATGTGTGTGTGCTTGATATTCGATGTTCTTTGCTAATTTACTAATTCCTGAGACTCTAACATTTATCTTATCGCGATTTAATTGAAGTTTATTGGCTAACTTTTCTGAAATGAAATGGGATTGTGATCCTGAATCTAAAAGAACGCGACAATCGTGTTTTATTCCATCGTGATCCTTAATATGAACTGTGGCAGTAGCTAACATAGTCACTTTATTTTCTAGTGTAATGACCGTTTGTGCCGTAAGTGTTTCCTGTGTGTCAGTGATAGTGTGTGCGTTTACATTGGAAGTATTTTGTTTTGACGTTGAAGGTGCTGTATGAGTATGAGGTGATGTGTTTGAAGTGTAATCTATATGTAATAATGTGTTATGTTTCTTATGACATTTTCTACATACGCTTCGTGTACAATCTATGCTTCGATGTCCTGCTGCGAGACAATTGAAACACACATGCAATTCTTGAATTTTGGCTCGACGTTCAGTGGGAGTTAATCTCAAAAAACTAGAGCAACTATGTAAATAATGATTTCCCTTGCAGAGGGAGCATACTGGTTCAGTATTAGTTACATGTGTCGTAACGACTCTGAATTTATTTTGCTTTGTTTCACTTATGAATTTGTTAGGAACTATTTTGTCGGAATTGATTCTTTCAAGGTATTTACAATGATTTTTCAAGAAATTCATCATATCCTGCAAAGTGACATTTCCCTGAATCTGATTCATTTTTCTTTCCCATTCACGCTGTGTATGACTATCTAATTTCGAAGTTAACAAATATATTATAAGAGTATCCCAAGAATCTGTGGGTTCACCAAGTGCTTTTAACGCTAACAGATTGTTGTTGGTATTATCAATTAAATTTCTTAATCCTGACAAAGATTCCCTAGTGCAAGATGGAACTTCATGCATAGACCTAACGTGATGGTATTTTAATGTCGATAGATCCTCGTAACGATCCTTTATTCTATTCCACGCAAGAGTATAATTTATTTCGGAAATACCTAATGCTTCAATCGTACGTGCTGCGCTACCTTTCACTGATGCATTTAAATAATGAAATTTTTCAATGTTTGAGAGATTCATATTATTATGGATGAGTGATTCGAAAGTGTCTCTAAACTTTACCCAATTACTATATGAGCCGTCAAACGTGGGCAATTCTATTGTGGGTAATTTAATACGGTTTTCCGTGCTGGCATTCGAAAAAGCGGGTGTCATTAAGCGAGTTGAAATTTCAGGATTTGCAAGAACTTGTTGAGAACGAGACTGCGAAATAACATCTTCAGCTGCTGCTGTTAATTGGAAAAATAAATTTTCAAAAGAATCGCGCTCTGCATGTTCTTGAATTGTAGAAGGTTCTTCGACTAAAGATTCAATTTGACTTTGCAACGTATCAAACTTTTCGTATAATGGCGATATTTTTTCTAATCTTTTTTGAAGTTCCGTTACTGGAGATGAACGATCGAATGACTCTAGATAATTTTTGAATCGCGTTAGCGAAGCTTTAATCTGACCGCGACTTATCACGGCTTGTTTGAGCGTAGCGTCCATGATTTTAAATAATACTGACTCAAATCAAAGAATGAAAAGAGGGACTTACGAGATGATGATCGGAAATAACTAGGAAGGCGTTAACCACTGCTGATTGTTGAGTCCCTTCTTAAAACTGCACGATGTAGCTGCACCCTTTTCTGGCTCGGCGAAGATGTTCCTCCTGGGATGCTGGGATGTTGAGGCCCCTCAATGATATGATGTTGGCAGCAAATCCTTGATCAGCTTCCTTCGTTTAATGGAACTCAGCAGGATGGAAGTTCACTGTACCAGTTGAGATGGTGGCTTCTTCGTTGAACTCACAATGTGTATGATTGTCTTTACAGGCACTTATGTGTACTTATAAAGTTCACCAATTCCGGATGAATCCGGCTCGAAGGACCAAAAAATATGTTAAATTCGTTTGTACTGTTGTACGGAATTTTTAAATAATGTAGCAAATGCTAACTTTGCCTTTCTACGTGGTGATTTATTTACTTAGTGTGTTGCTTTGAAATGTTACAAGAATTCTGTCTTAAAACTATCGTGCTGGTCTTTTTATTAATTTTTGGATGTAGGCGTGTATTCGGAGGTAAGGACTAAAAACTCAGGTGGGAAAAATCGTTGTCCAATCATCTGTTTTTGGTAATGCGGGGGTTGTTCTTCCCTTTCCTCGGGGTACATGTTTTGGAAAAACCCAAGTTGGCGTGCAGGTAGTGACAAATTTTGCCGATGGTTTATGGTGTGGTTTATGAGAGGGAAGTAATTAGATTTTAAAGCGGACCATAATTTAGGTTTTTTCCTTGACAAGCGTGAATATAAAAATTAGAAATTGGGAAAAAGACCCTTCCTGGTTGTAACCTAACGGCGCTCTTAACATTCCGCCCGCCTTGAACGATTGGCGTTCAACAATGATGTGTACAATATATCGTAGTATGTAAATGAGGTTCGTATATGTGTTGATTACAATGAGAGTGTGTGCCGCATTAGTGTTGCTTAAAATTACACAATAAGTTTAGTTATAGAATATAGAGTACGCTTGTCGAATATAATACAAGTTTTAAATATAAAAGAAACATAGTTATAATAAATGTTCGTGTATTAAATGGAGTGATTTGTCGATTGTTTTTCTGGTAAAGCATCTAGTGGTTGTTCCATTGGTAGGATGCATATTTTCGTCAGGGGTCGTTTGATTACACCTTCTGCAGCTTTGATTGACACCACCCGTGTAATGTTGTCAGCTCCGGGATGTAACTCAAGGATTCGTCCCATTCTCCATTTGAGTGGTGGAACATTGTCATCCTTGATCAAGACCATTGTCCCTGGTCCAAAGTTGGTTGGTGATTTTGCTCGCCATTTGTTACGTTGTTGTAACTGGTGCAGATATTCTGCTTGCCATCGCTGCCAGAAATGCTGTAACATACTTTGTAGATGCTGGTAACGGCTGAGACGATTTTCCTTTACATGACGCAAATCAGGTTCGGGAAATGCAGTGAGTGAATCGCCTATTAAGAAGTGTCCAGGAGTGAGAGGGGATAGATCTGTTGGATCATCGGAGAGAGGACACAAGGGACGGGAATTCAGACATGCCTCGATTTGAGTCAATACTGTATATATTTCCTCATAAGTTAATCTGGTTTCGCCGATAATTCTTTTTAAGTGATACTTTGTGGATTTAATTGCTCCTTCCCACAATCCTCCGAAATGTGGAGCCCGAGGAGGTATCAAGTGCCATTGAATGTTATTATTACTCAGAAATGTTTCTACACGGTCATGAAATTTCTTGTCTTTTAATAATTTGTTTAAATCTAAGAGCTCGTTGCGTGCCCCGACAAAGTTTGTACCATTATCCGAATATATCGTGTGACAAAGGCCGCGACGCGCGATGAATCGTCTCAAACAATTCAAAAATGATTCGGTAGTCATATCTGTTGCTAATTCTAAATGAACTGCTTTAGTCGAAAAACATACGAATAAACAAAGATATGCTTTCAATGTAACCTTTGATCTTGTTTTTTCTTTAATGAGAAAAGGACCGGCATAATCAATGCCGCATACAGAAAACGGACGCGCTGGGGTAACGCGCGTAGCAGGTACGTTTCCCATTAGGTAATACGGACTGACAGGTTTTACTTTAAAACACCGAATGCATTGTTTTATAATTGATTTCAGTAATCTTTTTCCTGATAACGGCCAATATCGCTTGCGTATAGAATAAAGGGTTGTGTTGCAACCAGCATGTAGCAAGCGTAAATGCTCGCGTGTGAGGATTAATTTTGTGACGTGATGTTTGGGTGGTAAAATGATTGGATGTTTCTGATTATATGGAATTTTTGCGTTAACTAGTCTACTACCTATTCTTAGTATACCATCTTTATCTAAAAAAGGATTCAATGAAATTAAAGAACTAGAATTTGCTATTGGTTGATTCGCTTTCAAATGCTTGATTTCGTCAGAGAAGAAATTAATTTGAACTATTTTGATTATTGTTGTTTCTAACTTGATTAATTCTTCTAATGTCAACCGCGGATGTGATTCCTTTTTTATGTGAAGTGATTGTCCCTTTGCGTTCAAGGATTTTTATGTG